CAGAACAAATCCTTTTATTGAGGGGATTTGTTCTGTGAAGTTTGGATTCAGGTAAAGGGCCTCACTTGAGGACCTAGAGGGCCACATGTGGCCTTGAGGCCTCAGGTTCCCCACCCCTGATTTCGATGCTAGGAATAGCTCCAGCATCAGACATTGGAAATGATAGCAACTATTAACATTAGTGCCTTTGCAAGTGGTAGCATTTGAGAAGTTGATCTAAAAGTAGTGATCAAACCCCCTGGGTAAGCACAATCATATTTGAAACTGTTTGGGTGCCCCTACCCTACCCAGTCATTGATTCAGACTCCTTGGTCTCTTTTTTTTTTTCATTCCCTGACTTGGTGCATCTTTTGTTATATGAGAGATGCTATACTAATTGCTATATTCTGTCAAGTTGTAAAATCAAATTATAGTCAACTCTTAGGACAAAGGGCATTAAATAAATTTCAGCTTACTCACAGAAAAGTTAAACATTCAGTAGTTTAACCACAGGATCAGAGCTACTTTGGGCCACTCTCTTGTCTTCATCTGGGTTCTGGAGCCCTTCTCCAGTGTATCCTGTTTCTAGGGTGGTAGGTAAGGTAATAATATGAAAATTATTTTATGGAGTTATTCTATGATATTGTCCACATTTATAGTGCCCACTATCAACATGTGTAATTCAGAGTTGACTTCTTCCTCGGTGATATTAGGAATATTTCGGTCGTGCCATTTGCTTGAAAAATTTCAGAGAATTTCACAAGGGCTATTATTTTTAATTTTCTCATTTACTGAGTTGAGGACCCAAAACTGCTATCCCAATTTTACGTACAAAAAGTAGAACATTTTCTGGCTTTCTTAAGCTCACTTAGTAGTGAAGCCTGAAATCTGCCTAGTCTTTTTCCACTTGGATGCTTGGCTGTAGGTTTGAGATGTATGTATACTGTTAATTGGACAGGGATCATTAACAGGGATCATTTTGAGTAGGAGGATATATGAACTGCAAAGGTGCTAATATTACCCTGAAATTTTTCCTTCACAGCATTCTAGGCTGTTTTCTTTCATTCTGTGATAGAACAACTTCAAATCTTTTCCCTAATTCTGTACTTAGTTCTGTAATTTTAAAATTCTTTCTTTCCTAACTTTCCTTTTAAATAAGCTTGTGTTTAAAGGGACTGAACCACTGTGGGGAAAGCTTTAAGTATATTTGGGAGGAGGAGTTAGACTTTCTTATAAGAGGAAAAATAAAGTGAACTTCAAATGAATACCCACTGATTCAGGAATTGTGATTCAATTCAAAAAAAGATCTTTAAACACCACCTACTACATATCAGAGCACTAGGCACTGGAAAAGAAAGCAAATTTTAGAGAAAGTGGAGTCCTTGGCCTCATGGAGCTTACACTCTAGTGGTGGGCTAAGATACAAATGACACTAATCCCTGCCAGGTACATGAGGGAGATACAAACAAAGTGTTATGTGAGGTGGCAGCATGGGGTGTTATTGACTGGGGGTGGGGATGGGGCTGTAAGAGAGGAGGACATGGAAAGCTTCATAGAGTTAATAGCATTTGAGCTGGGCTTTACAAGATGGGCAGAATTTCAGCAGGCAGAGGGAATCCAGGCATAGGGTCAGAGGGTCGGGAAGAGTGTAACCCAAGGAATAAAAAGCAGGAAGCAGGTATGTAGGTGAGTGAGTACTCCAGTTTGCCTGGAGCCTAGAGTACGTAGAGGTGGCCGGAACAGTAATCCCTGAGGCTAGAAGGTAGCATGATGCCAGATTGTGGAGCTCTTTGAATGCTAAGAAAGGATCTGGGCAATAGGGAGCTACCCAAGATTTTTGAGCAGACCTTATGCACCCGGAAGAGCCTGGAGGAGGCGGGGTGGCTCTTTGACTAGCCTGGGGCCAGGGCAGTTTCAGAAAGCCGAGGCACTAATGAAGGTCTGGACTAGTTTAATGGCAGTGCAGATATTGAGGACAATTCAGATTAGAGTGTGGATGGAGAGTAGCCAGAACTTGGTAACTGAATGGATGTGGGAGGTAAGGGAGAAAGAAAGAGAAGTCAGAACTCACGTTTCAAACTCGGGAGATGAGTAATGCCACTGACCAAAATTGTGAAGTCCAAAAGAGGAGCGGGTTTGTTGAGGAAAATCACGAGCTCCATTTGCCACTGACTCTACCCCCCCAAATTTCTAATGGTCTTGAACTAAGCTGAGTGATAAGGCCTCTAAAGAAACTCGTGGAGTCGAGTCTGTCTTTGGGGGTGTTGGGGGGTGTGTTAGGGAGGCAGGAGGACAGAAATGCCAGAGAACACAAACATTAAGCCAGCCAGTTAAGAGCTTGCCTAAGTGTATCCAGTTAGCATTTGCTTTGAAGAGTTTCTTCATTAACAAAGCTGCAGGTTAATGCTTATGTTTATTTAGTCCAGCTTTTGGTTGTTTTAATAATGAGGACTATTTTAGAGCCAAGGATTAGTGTCATTCTCAGACTGCCCCCACTTGGAGGCAGCAAGTACACGTTGGTATCTCAGCTAGTGATGCCTTGTAACCTGGGCCTTTGTAGAGATTTAGATGGTGAATTCAAGTCCTGTTAGAGGGGTGCTTTATGAAATCGATGTGTTCTGGAAAAGTTGAATGGAAAACAAATTCATATGCAGCAAATCCTATTTTCTCATTAAGTTGGATTTTTTTAAGGGAGGGCAAGGGGGAGATAGATGGCCCCCAAAATGTAAGAAAATCACATATTTAAAGAAATAACAAAGGAATGAAACCCAAAATATTAATGCAAAGAAAACAGGGTTATGTTTATGTTTGGGGGGAAAAAAGCTTTACAGAAATTTCTTTGGCAGAAATTGGTGCCAGTTTACCTGAATAGACCCAAGTAAGCTGCAAAGTTATTTGGTTTCCATCCACCCCATTCTGATATTGGTCATCTCTTCAGTTGCTAGTTCCTAGCATTTTATGGATGCTACCGACACTGAGAAATAAGTAAGTTTTCCTGAGCTGAAATAGGGAGGAATATAGATGCAACCATTCAGAATGCTGCTTCCTTCGATTCCTAGTACCACGACGTAATAATAAAGTTTTTACTAAATATGTGCCTGCCCCCAGGAGACCTCAAATTCTTTACTCTGAATCATCAGGTGTTATATATCAGTGCCATCCCGACTTTAACCATTTCTGTATAACAAGGTATACCTGGAGCAAATGTCATCTGACTTCTTACACTTTCTCATTTTAATGCTTTAGCAGGTGCTGTTACAGCCACACAGTTTAAGGCTGACCCCAAGCTCATGGACCACGGTCAGTCCAATCCAGAAGATGTAGATATGTACAGCACTAGAAGTTGAAATAAACTACATACAGATCTTCAAGAAGTAGAAAGCTTGTCAAATAACCAAAGTAACAGTGGAAAAATAATATAACTGGGCCCCATAGCTATATAGTTTAATCAGGTATTTTCTTAAATTTTCATTCATCCATTCATACCCACAATTTGCTAACTCATCACATAGACAGACTCTGAAAGCAATCAAAGCAATACTCAGTGATTGACACCAAAGTTGAGTTCAGTGTCATCAGGATGCATTTGGTGCCATACAATGGGGCTCACTTAACACAGAAGATGGGATAAAGATATGAGCATCACAGAGTCTTTGACATTTTAAATATATCTCTGATTTAGCTGCCCTCTTAATATGTCAGCTAAGCAAGAATCCTGGGTAAATGTTTTCTTTCTTTTTTACACTTTGGAGGTCTGGAGCAAAATATTCACATTAAAGTACCAGGGCCTGATGTTGGCATTTTCAACCATCCTTAAATGTCAGAAACCAGCTCGGGCTGCTGCATTTGTCTAATATATTGCGTTTCTTTAATATATTTAAGCACGAAGAACAGATCTTTTCAACATCCTTCCTTTACTCTCAGAAGTAATTGAAATAAAAGAAATTTGTGTGACATCCTTGTACAGTTTTATTTAACTTGAAACCATCCTCATCTTAACCAAGAGGTTAAATACCCATGGTTTAAAAAAGAATAATCATTTCACTTATTAAAAAAGTATTGTAGCTCTTGAAACTCATGAAGGATTATTAGGTATCTCTGGGTTCTTAAAGGCTGTGTGAATGGAATGCAAGCTCTAGCATGTTCTGCCAAGCTGGAAAGTTGTCAAGTAGAGGCCCCACGGTGGACTGTCTTCCAGTGACTAGCCTAGCTAAGGTCGGAAAGATTCCTCACTAGCGTGTTGGCCAACCAAGTGATGACTAGTACAGCCACAGCCACTCCTGAAGGCCGTCTCCCGTGGAGCCGTGGGGAAGTGATCTGCATCGATAGGGAGAGTAGTGATACTGGTGAAATCACGGGTCATTGACCAAGTTTATGAAGTGTCATCATAAGCCTCTTCCGAGACCAAAAGAAAAAATCCCAGCATGGTGGTAGTATTGTCCAAAGGAAAAACTTGGGCAGTAGAGAAGGAAAGGAGCTCCAACTTCAGGGCTGCTGCCGCTGCTGTTCGGACCACCCACTGTGACACTCCCTGTTTCCTCTGTGATTGGAGGGAACAGCTGCAAGCCTGAACAAGAGAAGAGCTTTGAGATGTAAGCAGTGATAACAGGCATCATAAGGCCTTCCCACGCATACAGCACTGTTCTCTCTGGCATGTAACTAAACACCTTGCCTCTTCGTGCATTTACATCTACTTTCTTTGCTTGAAAGAGTTAATGCATCTTCAGAAAGAATCATTTACTCCTTCCTCACTCATAAGATCAGGATGGTCATAAAGGCTGTATACGACTCCTTTTTTCAAGTCAGATTGATGAAATAGTTACTATCTGATTTTCATTTGTATATGAGTAAATCTGTAGCTCTGGTACCAAAAAATTCAAATAAGTGACTGTCCAATTGGATAGAGAAGAACACGGTGCTACTCTAAGATTAGTCAGGGAAAGGGGCTAAGTAGAACACAGCAAAACTCAAATTACAAGATATTTAATCTTGTCACAAAGAAGAAAACAAAACACTGCCCCCTATTGGAAAGAGGCAGCTGGTCTGATATAGGTCCTCAGGTTTGGGGACAATCAGGTAGAATTGCTTTCTCAAATTTTAATTCAAAGGTTTTTTTAAACACTGATGATGGAAGCTAGACACAGTGAAATGTACTGTGATTTAACGAGAAGGATGTTTTAAATGATTTAAAAACAGATTTAAACAAATTGATGTCAATTTTTGAGTGTATTCAAAAGTTTTCATTACACTTAAATAGGTAAGTGCAGATTTAGACAAAAAAAAAAAACAAAAGTAAATTTAACCATTTGGTGGTCATGTTTCCTTCCCACATTTTTTTCCTTCACATGTCCACAGTAAATGAAATACTCTGTGGTACAGCTTTTAATTTCTCTGATTCAGTTTGCATTCTCTTTGGCCCTTCTGTCTTCCTTCTTATTCTGTTTTGAATCTTCTCTTCCCACTGCTTCCTTTTTCTCTTGGTGTCATTGGTTTCTCACACTGCATCCAAAGCCAGCAGTGACATAGTCAGGCCCCCACTGTTCTCTGTCAGGGTTCTGTCTGCTTCCTGCGGGTTCTTCTTCATGAGAGGGTCTAAAATATAAGGGTAAAATATACTAGTGTCTTGGGGAGGCTGTGGATTGATAAGAGATGGTTAGTGTGTGAGGCTATTCACATGGCCCATGCTTTTTATCAGGACTTCATTCATTTACCCAGAGAGTTGTGTATTTTGAAGATAGGCTCCTCAGTGGGCTTGATACCAGTGCCAGAAGAGAGATCAAAATACTCTTAAATGTGGTATGGCTTTATTGTTCTTAGACCATGAAAGTAGATCTTCACATCATTCAGCACCCACTATGGTGAACAGCTGCCTTGCAATATAAGGGGAGAGCTGAAAAGTGAATTCGCTATGCACGGTAATAAAACAATATTGCGTTTCCATTGGCGTCTTCCAAACAAATTAGCTGCTGCAGCCAGGAGGACTCTTCCCACAGTTGTGATATCACAAAGACAGAAGGTATCGGCCAAATATTCCTTGTTATTAAACTTCTGCTCCTCAGCCAAAGCCTTTACCTTCCCACGGCTGCTTTTTATCACTTTCCCAGCTCACTTGACCAGCCTTGCCCAGTATGCATCCAGCCTGTCTGGCCTCTTACCTCACACCTACCTTCCTGCCTTTGTACCCCACTTCTCTCTAAGTGCCATCTCTTCTCCCACTAGGCACATAGACACTGCTCTTAAATTCATGGCCAGGGGGAGGGGCTATCCACAAAAATATAAAAGAAAAAAAATGAATGGCAGAACTTGGGAGTACAAGGAATAAAGCCTTGTGGAATTATCAGCAGTTAAGAAAGTTGCAGGTGTGTCTTGGCTATTGAGATTTGTATGTTGCAGATATAAATTATCATTTGTACAAAATAGGAGTTCATGGGTAAATACTTAAACCGTCAGTTTGGAAATCCACTTAACAGGTAAAATATGCTGGTGGAAGGGGGAGCAGGAGTTAGTATTTTGGAGATGAAGATTAAAAATCAGAAGTCTATATTCCTCTAAATATTTCACTATGTTTCACTAAAAACAAAAGTAAATTCCTGGAGAATGTTAAATGCATAATAGTTGAGTGTCTATATGTTAAAAATTCACGTCTTACTAATGTGAAAATATGTTTAATAGGAATGTATATGTAGAGCCTATATCAAATTGCATGCTGTCTTAGGGAGGGAGGGGGAGAAAATTTAAAACTCAAAAGCTTATGGAAGTGAATGTTGAGAACTAAAAATAAATAAATATTTAAAAAATTTTTTTTAAAATTCATGTCTTAGAAATATTCAGACTACAGTAGTATCCAAAGATTAAAGACACACCAGCACTGCTTCAGTGGTCAGAGCATCTTTTAGGGGGCCACGCCTGTGATTTCTTTCAGCATAAGGAATTCCCAGTGTATAAACTCTTATTAATGCAAATGAGCCCATGAGTGTGTTTGTGTCAGAAGTTGGCGGTGAACCTCGGTCTTCATGGGTTTGCTCTTTTCCCAAAGCTGGCCTTCTGTTTCTATCCACGGTGCTCCACTGACTCTGCATCAGGGAATATCATTTTAAAATATGCAGAGCAGTCTTCTTCTCCTTCCTTCCCCTTCCCCCCCAACTCCCTTACAATTTGAGATTTCTAATCTTTTTCTAGTAGGAACAGAGTTTTTGTCCACCAAAATGTGCTACAGTAAAGAAGCTTATTTGAAGCAGAAGAAGAATGAATTTTATTTAAAGGTAGAAATCTAGTTTCCCAAAAATTTTATATGGTAAGATAGTTGATAGTAAATTGTGTCTGCTTTGGTTGTAGCTGAAAACAAATGAAATTATGTACCAGATACTAAAATTTTGTGTTGCGTAATTTAAGCAATTGAATTTTTAAAGTCTCATACCTTAAGTAATGCTATAAGAAGGAAGAAAAGTGAGCCTAGCGTACTTACCATGTAATACCACATTAAAATTGGGAATATGGATTGGGATTCAACTCACAAATTACATTGTAGGAAATCACTTCATGTTTCTATTTCCATACAACCAAGGTCTGGAATAATAGCTTCGAAACTGTTTGATCAAAGTTTGTACCTTAATTTCATTTAAAAATTTTTTAAGCAAACCAGTGCTGGATTTAAGTTCACAGATCCCAAAAATATAGCCCATGTCATTTGAAAACTTGGGATAAGACAGAAATATTGTAAATTGTAGGATGTGATATGAGGCCTGGTATCATGGAGCCAGTGGCACCACAGACAGAGTGCTGGGCCTAGAGTCAGGAAGACCTGAGTTTAAGCCTGGCCTCAGATACGTACTAGCTGTGTGACCCTGAACAAGTCACTTAACCTTTCTCAGCCTCAGTTTCCTTGTCTGTAAAATGTAACAGCACCTACCTCCCAGGGGTGTTGTGAGATCAGATGAGTGAATATTTGTAGAAGCACTTAGCACAGTGCCTGGCACATAGTAGGTGCTATAGAAATGCTTTTTCCCTTTCCTCCTCTCTTCCCCTTCCCCATCTGATGTAGTAGTACAGAGGACCTTATACTATTCTGCAGGCCTAGGAGAGCATTAGCTCTCCTGTTATTTTGGACTAACTTAACACCATCCTTCAGATCTACCAGTGACGACAGAAGCATTCAGTAGCTGTGGTTTAGACAATGAGCATCTGGGCTATAGCCAGGATCTATTGCCAATAAAACCAGTCAGCTGTCAATGAAGACAGTGAATTTATCCCAAAAAAAGGGTGCGTCTAAGCCAGGCCTTGCTTTTAACTTGAGAGAGATCACTGCCTTTGTTTACTTGAGTTACTATTTCTGTTTATTTCCAACAGGATTTAGAGCAGTGAAGGGACCTTGGAGAGCATCTAGTCTACTTCTCTTATTTTACAGAAGGGAAAACTGAGGCCAAGAAAGAGCAGGTGACTTCCTAAGGCCACCCAAGTAGTGATGGAGGGAGCATTCACACGGGGGGGGGGGGGGCTTCTGCCTTCAAATTCAGTGTTCTTGGGAAATTGCTCCACTTGCTAAACCAAAGTAGCTTGAATTATTACCCCAAACTTGCATCTAGGGAAGTAGAAACCATACAGAAAACAGATTTAGAGAGATCAAACTCCCCCATCTCCCACATGGAAAGTACAGGATAGAAAATCCTGGGTCAGATCTTCCAGGACAGCTTCATTATTTGGTTTGAAGAGAATTTCCAGAACCTTACCTGTCTGCAAGTGAATATGCAAAATATACATTTATGTAGATCTAGACTGGCAGATCGAAAGATAAAACTACAAGACAGGCAGAAATGATTGCTAGGTGAAGATAACCAAGAGTTTACTGTGTTTCACCAGCTCAAACCAGAGGCTGGGGATGTGATGTATGGTACAAGGAAGTCAACAAGATGAGGATTTAGAACCTGGAATGGCAGTTTGGAAGCACCTTCACTTTTCACTTGCCATTTGTAAAAGCTCCTTTTTGTTAAACCGGAACAGATGCCATCCCTCCTGAGAGGATAAGTCTAGGGCCCCCCGCCTGGTGTAGTATTCGGTAGATGTCTGGTTCCATATGACTACAAGAAAGTTCATGCAGCTGCAGCCGCTGGTAATTGCTATCTGTTTACAAAAGCAAAGAAGGGGCATTCTTATTTGAAAGTAGATTAGTAGATTCATTCCTTCATTCAGAAAATGCCATCTGTATATTGTGTGCACATCTATTACTTCTAAGAAAATACTCTTGCAAGATTTCTCTCTTGAAGCATTTCATAGCTCTGGAATGGATGAAATTCCATTGTTCCAAGTTTAACAACCCCAAAACTAGTGCCGACTCTTCAGACAATTATGGTATAAAAGAACTCGGACTTAGAATGCTGTTCTTCCCTCTCTACCTTGGAGGTAAAATCATCTTGTACCAAAGCCCTTATGCCTGGTACTTAACTAACAGAAGTATCATTGGATGACCAGCTTTATGGTTAATTCTCCTTTACAGTAATGGTTGAGTGAAGCTTTTCTAAATAAAATATAATAATAATAAGTGACTGGCATTTATATTATTCTAAGGTTTGCAAAGCACTTTACACAAGTAATCTCATTTGATCCTTAGAACAACTCTGTGAGGTAGGTGCTATTATCATCTCCATTTTACAGACAAGGAAACTGAGGTGGAGAAGGGTTAAGTGACTTGTTCAGAGTCACATTCCTAGTAAGTATCTAAGGCAAGATTTGAACCCAGGTCTTCCTGTCTCCAAATCCAGAATAGTTCTGGATGTAAAGCACATTTATTTCAACTAAAATGTGTACAATATTCATTTATGATAATAGCTGACATTCACAAAGAGCTGTATTATACATTATCCCATTTGATTTTCACAGCAACCATGGTCAGGCCTGAAAGAAGCGTTAACACCATTTTGCAGATCAGAAAAATGCAGTTCAAAGAGATGGTGACTTGCCCCAGGCACAAAACTAATGTACTAGTGGCCAAATTTAAATGCCGATCCCCCTGACTCTTAAGTCCAGGACCTTTTCACTTACACCACTCTGCTTCTATATTTCAGTTGTTTTCAACTTTCTGGATTAAATTGTTCAGTTTTATATAATTCCAAAGAGTATGTTAAATTTTTAAAGATAAATGGATAATAATTAAATTACAAATACTGGTTATACGTAATACAGACCTGACTTAGTATCCTCAAAATTTCGGGTCCGATACCTAAACCTTTAAAATAGAGAAAGTAGAAATGAGAATAGCAGAAAAAGTAGCCCAAGTACAGATTCATGCATGTGCACTAGTTACAAATGCAAGAACTTTACATCTAATTTCTCCATACCCACAGACATATTCTTAGTGTTGCACTGTGGATTTCATATTTAGAAAAGAAGTTGGTTTGTTGGATTTTTTTTAAAGATCAGTAAATAATCATGTCTTCCTCACTCTTTAAAGACGAGTATATCTCATCTACTACTCTCAACTCACCAATGAAGGAAGAAACAGAATTTTTTTAAAGGAAAGTATGTTGTGACAGTCTACCTCACTCAAGTCCTGAATAGAAAACAATAAATCAAACATTTCTGAATCAAAATATTAAAAAAAAAGTGACGGATGGAGATAAAACTCTTTTTTGGTCCATATCAATGATTTTGTTGATTTAGAGAACAGGACACTGGGGAAGAATATCCTCTACCAATGTAGATCTGCAATTCTGCAACTTACAGGGTTTTTTTGGGGGGGGGAGGGGGGCGGTTATCCTGGGGCACTAAGAGGTAAGTGATGTGTCAGAAGCAAGACTGCCCCAGGTCTTCTTGTCTCTGAGACAAGTACTCTTCCACTATACCACTATGCTTCTCAAAACATAATTACAGTTCATTAGTGTTCTGTGTGTTGATGTGGAAATTCCATCTCTGATTCCTAAACCCTAAGTATAATGTCATACTTCCAAGTATCCAGATGTATTACTCAATCCAGAACCTGATGGCCATTATCTACTGACCCCTCTATGCCCCCAAGGTCATTCTCCCTCCTTCTTCAATGAGTTAAAGAAGGCTCATAAGTCTTTCCACCCCAATGCTTAACCTCATGATATCAGGCAACTTCAATATTAATACTGATTTTCCTTCATATACCCTAAATTATCAGTTCCTCAATCCCTTCAGTTCCCATAAGCCACCCTTCTGTTATACCTTAGCTACACAAAGAGGTGATCGTACCCTTGATCTTGTCATCATCCACAAGCATCCCAACTTTGACGTTTGTAAATTCTGAAATTCTTTTATCTGACCATAACCTTTTCTCATTCCATCTTTCCCTATTCCTTATAACTCCTAACCCCATTCTTTGTCCTCATTAGGACCTCCAGTATTTCTATCCTTCCGTACTTTCCCTAACCACCACCCTTGTACTGACTGTAGTGTCCTCCTTTCCTAATCTTGACACCTTGGTGCATGAGTTCAGGTCTACACTATCCTCACAGATGAATTCCTTACCTCCTTGTCCTACTGTCACTCATGTAACACCAAGGCCCAATCCTGGCTTACTTTCAAGCATTCATCTCTCTTGATCCTATTGATATTGTGCTGAATAAAGCTGGGGGAAGTCACAAAACCATGCTAAGTCCATTACAAATTTATGTTCTCTAATTTCAACTGGCCTCTCCCTGCATCAAGAAAATCGATTCTCCATCCCACTCACTACAGCAGCTGCTACAAACCTTGTCATCTCTCCTTAACCCCCCCACCCTCTCCACTAAGGATCGCACCACCTAGCTGGACCAGAAAAATGGAGGCCATTTCCCATGAGCTTCCCCTTTTCCCGTCATCACTCAAATGTCTCTCCTGCCATTTCTTTGGATGAAGAGGATGCCTTTCTCCTTGCCAAGCAAACTATGTGTACCTTTGATCTCATCTCCATTCTCACCCTCATTCTCTCACTAATCTTCACCCTGTCTCTGTTATTTGGTTCTTTGCCTGCTGGCTACAAACATGCTCAGGTTTTCCCTCATCCTTACAAAATATCCCAGCGTGTTCCAAAACTTCCCTATGTCCCTTCTGCCCGATCTTGGCGAAACTTTAAGAAAGCTGCCAACAGCAGGTGGCTCTGCTTCCTTTCTCACCCTCTTCTAAACCCTCTGCGGTCTGGCTTGCAACTTCATCATTCAACTGAAACTCCTTTCTCCCAAGTTACCAATGACCACTTCATTGTCCAGTCTAATTGCCTTTTCTCACTCCTCAACCTTCTCTGCCTTTCTGTGGCTTTTGATGCTGTTAATAACCCTCTCCTCCTGGATATTCTCTGCTCTCTAGGTTTTCCTGCACTATCATCTTCCAGTTCTTCTAGTTATTTGGTGTTTCTCATTCTCCTCTGTCATATCTTCATCCTTGGCATACCCACTAATTGTAGATGTCCACAAGGTTCTGTCCTGGACCCTCTCCTATTTTCTTTTTACGCTATCTCATTTGATGACCTCAACAACTCCCATGGAACTCATCTTTGTGCTGATGATCCCATCTCTAAGCTGACTCCTATATGTCTGTATCCAAGCTTATTTTCTCCCCTGGACTTCAGTCTCCCATCACCAGTAGTCTGTTAGGCATTTCAAACAGCTTGTCCGATAGGCGTCTCAAACTCAACATGTCCAAAACAGAACCCATCTTTTCCACAAACCCACCCCTCTCCTAAACTTCACTTTTACTATTGAGAGCAGTCACATTTAAGAACTTGGTGTCATTCATGGACTTTGCTCACTCATCAGTTGCCAAATCTTGCCATTTATACCTTTCCAATATCTTATATATCCACTTCTCCCCATTCGCATAATAACAACCCTAATTTATGTCCTTCTCACTTCTTGCCTAGACAAGTGCAGTAGCCTTCCGATTGGTCTCCTTGCGTCAAGTCTCTCCTCACGCCACAAAATGATCTTAAGTGTAATCCTGACCACGTCAGCCTCAGACACACACCCAATATAAACTCCAGTGGTTCCCCACTCCCTTAAGAAGCAAATACAAAGTCTTTCATTTGGCATTTAACAATCTTCACAATCTACCCTCTTTCTCCCTTTCCAGTCTTCTTACACTCTACTGCTTTCCAGGTACTCTCCAATCCAGCTGTACTGACCTACTGATTGCTGATTGTCACACATGACCCCCATAACACTCTTAGCTGTGCTTCTGCACTATATTTAGCTAAGAACGCTCTCCCTCCTCACCTACCTCCTGGCTTCCTTCAGGACTCAGTAGAAGTGCCTCCTGTAAGAGGCCTTTCCAAGTCCCATAGATAGAATGTACCTATTTATTTACATGTTGTCTTTCCCCATTAGAATGTAAGCTCCTTGAGCCAGGAACTATTTTTGCCTATATTTGCATCATCAGTCCTTATCACAGTGCCTGGAACCTAGTAAATATTTAATAAAAGCTTGTTGATTGATGATAGTTTTACCTCGAAAAGGTTCCATGACATAGAAGTCTTCCAGGTGGAGTAACTTGCCAATGCAAGGATCATAGGTGAAATAGTACATTGCGAAACCTACTGTCAGAGTGCCTAGAGATGGAGAGTGCAAAAGGTTGAGCGCTTTCATTTTTATTGAGTATCAAAATATTTGTTCTGTTAGTCCTTCAAAATGAACTTTTGCTTAGAATCCATTGGCAGCATATGTCCAGGCTCTTCATGAGTCTGTGAATTAGAATTACTGATTGCCAAATCTCCGTTACCAGTTTCCTCAGTTATTTAAGATCTTTGACTGTGTGTTGCCAAAGAATTTTAATGGCAGTTTTTCCTAGGCAAGAAATAATATAAATAGGAGTAGGCCTATAGAATAAGGCTTCACATTTTCCCAGGAAATTCCCAGGAGCTCTCTCTGTAACACATGGGCTATGTGAATTCCCCATATGACCCCCTTTACACCTATTTTACTACTGCTTTTTTGTTATACTTCATCTTAGAATAGTCTCGGTATGAAAACAGTTAAAGGGAGTGTATCTTACGTGTCAGCTCTGCCTCAGCTGGTACTTCTGCAATAAGACAGTAATAAAGAGGGTGGTCCCCGAAGCCATCGTTGAGTAAATCTGAAAGGTCAATCCACATACAGAACCTTAAAGCAGTGACTTCTAGGGGAGCTGCCTGCCCACTTTCTAGCTTGCCTGCCTCTTCCATGGTGCAAGGGCTTTGTCATATGAAAGGGGGAACAAAATGAAAAGGCCAAACCAAGGAGGATTTGGAGATGAATGTTGTTCAAAGACTACACTGAGATTGTAGCAGACTGGGAATGCTACAAAATGTTTCTGACATCACATAACTCAACTGTCTACCTTATGCCAAATAGTATTTTCTAGACTACAGTGAGCTACCCATTTGGGTACACTGCTTCCATAAAGATCCATTCCTTTCATTTACTCTCTCTTATTTCAGTGAAGCATAGGAGAAGATCTGACTCTAAAGTTGGGCACTGACCTATGATAACTACTAAGCATAATACCGTGGATTGCCACCGTGGGTTAGACCTGCTGTCCCTGTGGAGGTCCAGTATTCTAAAAATGTCACCAAGACACATGCAAGAGGAAGTGTCAAAGGGTAGTCTCACCCTTCCCCCCCCTCAAAAAAAGAAAACCCTAGGTTCCTTTAGTAACGTTATGTTTTTGTCAGCCAGCTTTTGTCTAAAGCTTTATGGAAACTATATTACCAGCTCATACCATGTATATGAAATCATACTTTTTGTCTGAAACCTAACCTAAAGTTTCAGTGATGGGGAAGGGAATCTTTTTTTCTAATACTTTAGGATTTGGCAATTAAATTCTGTGTTCATCTGATCCGTGATGTTGAGGATTTTTTAGTAATACATCAATATGTCAGGTTTTTTTTTATTTCATTGGTGTGGGAACTCCCTCCACTAATGTGTACTGCAACCCATCCGTGCCTTGGAAAAGACATAGTTACTTGAGATCCACTGAGGTAAAGTGACTTGCCAGTAAATGGCAGATGGGATTAGAACACAGCTTTTCATGACATCCTCCCCACAATGGGACACTAGCTCTTTATAACACTAATACCCTTTTAGTTGTGCTTTATGATATCATTTAGCCCCTCCACACCACAGCTTTCAGTATTTCATATTGAAGAATTCTAATCTTTGACTTAATGTATAGCTAGATTTATTATAGTACAGCAATGCATTTACTCTCATGATGGAAGAAGGAAGATACTCCTCCTGGTGGTGGTAAAGGTACCTCTCTTTGAGGTCAGTTTGCATTAGATAAGGGCATTTCCTTCTTTAGGTCTATCAGCCTCTTTCAAGTTATATAGCTTGCAAATAACAGGGTTTTCTGGGCTATCTTCACACTGGCCAAAAGGGAGGGAAAGGCAATAACACTCATGTCTCTGTAGCGCTTGATGACTTAGGTAGCATTTTGCTCACAATAGTCGAATGAGATAGGCAGTATTCTCAATATCTCCATTTTACAAATGAGAGAACTGAGATTTTGGGGAAGGAACTTGCTCAGAGATAGTGAGTGTCACTTGGGACTTCAAATGCAACACACTCTCCACTGTAGCATGGTGTGTAGTGAAATAGTGACTGGTCACCCCAGCGAGAAGCAGAGAAGCAATCTGAGGCCTGGAAATATGGAAACTAAAGTTTAACAACTTAACTTAGAGCTTCTGTCTGGGGAGAGTGCTAACAGGTATTAGAAACCTAACAGCAATCCTGTAGCAATCATGTAAGCCAGTGCACTCTGAGTTTGCATTTCCTCACAAAAGCCCTATGGGGGAGATGTAGGCAAGGCAACTATCATTAGCCTTGTTTTGCAGATGAGAAAAATGAGGCTCCAGGAGAGAAAATTACTTTCTTAAGGTCATATAGCTTGTTAGCATTGTTGGAGCCTGAACCTGAACCCTGGGCTCCTCTAATTCACCATTCTGCCTAGTAAATATAAATTAAATAAAATAGTATGTCCTTTAGAAATGCCTAATGTCCATATTGCATACAAAGGATAGCGTAAATGGCAGATTCCATGGACATAAACTATGAGCTTACATGACCTTCACTTTTCAGTCCCTGGAAGTCCCATATCACACCTTACCCGTAATGGTTAACTTCACAGCATCAGGAGCATTTCCATAAGCAGCCAATTCCTGTCAAGGAGAGAAGTGATTCACGTTATGATTTTGTAAGTAGTTCTTGAGGATTACATCATGATCATTTGAGAGATTTTACATTTTTACGTAGTGGGGTGGTTTGCAGTGGACAAAGCGAGTGAAGATTTATCCCAGCCCTCCAAAAGCTGATGATTTATAATGGTCCCAACAAATACGGAGAGCATATATAGGAAAAGAATTCGTAAGTCCATTTTAAAAATAACTGCAACTCCTCAGAAGGCCTCCTCTGCTGCCACACTATGCCCTGGAGGCGATTCTGAGCTTTCAAAGGTTAGCCAGCGAAATTCATGCTCTGACAGATGGAAATCCCACCACTATAATGTGTCTGTCACCTATGGACCAACTTAGCTAAGGCTGACCACAAGGGAATGAGTTATGTTGACCATGAGAACTCTGAGGCCATCTTCTAAGGTGTAAAAAGGGTTCTAACTTGCATCACTGGATCCTTGAAGTAACACCTGAATTATCCAGAGGGAACCTAGCTAAATCTCAGCTCTCCAGAACATATTAAAGAACTGAGGAGGGTTTTCTTAAGGCCCCTCAGCCGTCAAACTAGATGGCATAAAAATCCATACATTTCAAAGCTCAATAACTTTATCAGACCCTTTAGAGTACACTTAACTCATGTTTATGGAGAGTTCCAACAAGTCTGTGGTTATCAGTTTTCACAGCTCACAGCAGATTAGAAGGGGAGGCTGCAGGGCAGAGCAAGGCAGAAGGCAGGACTGAGGATTGCTAAAGACTAGCGTGCTAACAGCCGCCAAAAGTGGCAGCTGGACAGTGGAGGGAGAGACAGGAAAACCATCTAGCAGATCCAAGGACTCCGAAGGCAGCTTGTGGTCATTTTGTGTAGGGACAATGGCCCTAAATCCTTGCTTAGCCCCTAACAACATGAATGGATTTCAGGAAAGAGGTTGTATGTTACGATTGAGTTGCCAACTTGCATTGCTAGAGGAAGATTCTACACTGTGAGTTCCCCAAGCTGATGAAATGATAATGACTGATGTTCATAATGATCTTAGATTCCAAGCTGGAAGGGGCTTTAGACATCATCTATTCCAACTCCTTCATTTCACAGATGAGAAAAGGGCCCAGAGCATCAGTGACTTGCCCAGGGTAATAAGTGGCAGACACACTGACTTCAAGCCTAGTGTTCTTTGCACTTTGTCATGAAGAAAAAAGGAAATCATGCCTAAGGATGATTTTTGCCTAAGACTGGGAAGCACTTTTATCAAGATTTGCTTACAGTAAAAAGTTTTGATGCTTATAACATGGTAAGCTTCAGTTATCAGGAAAATACACTCATTTCCCCAGTGAGGCCAGATGAATGCAGCATTACTCTAGGTCAGGAGTGAGGAATCTGTGTGGCCTCGAGGCCACAGGTGGCCTTCTAGATTCTCAAGTGCGGCCCTTTGACTGACTCCTAACCTCACAAAACAAATGCCCTTAATAAAAGGATTTGTTCTGTAAAACGTGGACTCAGTCAAAAGGCCGCACCCAAGGACCTAGAAGGCCACAGGTTCCCTGCCCCTGCTCTAGGTCCAGCAGGTGCTCGCACTGGTACATTTACTGCTGAAGGTGGAGAGACGAAATGTTATGTTTGTTTAAATATGGGTCTGGGAAAAGTTGTCAACTTGTGTTTGACACATGGCAGAGGGAAGAGAGGGAGGGGCGGCAGCTGAGGGGAAGGAAGACATTCCAGACTTAAGACATAGCTTGGGAGAAGCATAGGTCTAGATGTAACAAGGGGAAATGAGGTGATCGAATATCCTGGGAGGTAGCATGTACAGAGATAAGGGTCCCTGGTCCCCCACAGAGAGACGGATCCATAGTTGCCAGGTGCTTGGGTGATAGCCCAAGCACGAAGCACCACCATCACCACCACCACCCCTGCTGAGGGTTTTGTTTGGAAAACCACAAAACCTGGATCTGCTCGATCCCTTCCTGATTCAATGGAAAAATCATACCCGGCTACAAAGATGATATGGTGTAGGCAAAGCAAATGATGGTCGGGATGGCAATATTTTAAGTGTTTGATCAATGGGCCTTCTTGTCAGGGGCAAAAGACCATGTGACTCACTTCCTCATCAGAATAAATGAGGATGGTGCTACTTTTGACCAGACACCAATGAGGTGATAGGTGGTTGTGACAGTGTGTTTTAAGTATATTATTCATGCTAAAAACATCATCATAAGCTGCTCTCCACTCTGCTACCCCCTAATGCTGCTACACACCCTCTTGCTCTTTCCTATCAAGTTTCTAGGAAGGAGACTGAAATACATTTGCTACTATCACATACTCACTCCTAAGCTGTTTGAAATCTTCCTTCTTCCTTCACTATCCTACTGACACTGTTCTCTCCAAGGCCGCAGTGACTTGATCCGAGGATTTGTTTCAGTGCCTTGTCAGCTTTGACATCTGTCATGCATGACACTGACTCATCCTGGTTCACCTGTCTGTCCTACTGCTTCATATACACATCACCAAATATGGGAGCACCTCAGACATCTGTCCTTGGCCCTCTTCTCTGTTTTTACTCTATCCGTCAGTGATCTCATCCACCCTGACAGATGACTCCCAAATCTTTATCCCCAATTCCAACTTTTCTCCTGAGCTCAAGCCCCATATTTACCACTGCCAGCTAAGCTACATCCTGTCGGCACCTCAAATTCAGGATGTCAGAAATTGAACTCGTCATCTTCCCTCTCTGCCTGTCCAAGCCAAGTCCTTATTTCTGTTTATAGTACCACCTTTTTCCTAGTCACCCAGGTCCCAAACCTCTGTTCTTTCCCTCACTGCCCCTCCCCCAATCACAATCAGTCAGTCTCTAAATCCTACCAATAGTTGATTTCTCCTTGTTGAATCTGGTCACTGGTTGTAGGCATGACCTCTGAGTCCATGGAGATGAATTAAAACCAAGATATATAAAGCCAGGCCTCATAGTTCTATTCCTAGTTCAGTTGGGTATAGTTTTCAAAGGATCTTTCCATTCCATAGGAAACATGACCATATATGGTCACAGGTTCTTAACTGCCCTCCTGAGAGCTGATGAGGCAGCATCAGTCAATTTGGCTATTGTGTTTTCCTGGGATCTGTGTGACCCCAGTCGCCTGCTTCTGCTTCATAAAAGAATGAGCACTGGATGGATTATAGGGCCACTTTGGAGTGCAGGATAATTTCAGTACAGCTTCCATAATTCTAGTGAATGAAATGTTTTACTCTAGCTATTTAAATATCTTTTTTTTTTTTTTTTTGCTTTTTGGTGAGGCAGTGGGGATCAAGTGACTTGCCCAGGATCACACAGCTAGTAAGTGTTAAGTGTCTGAGGCTGGATTTGAAGTCAGGTCCTCCTGACTCCAAGGCCAGAGCTCTATCCACTGCGCCACCTAGCTGCCCCTAAATATCTTATTTCTAACGAATCAGCTGATTATTTTCAGACCATCCAAAATCACCTCCCTCAAACGCACCTATTTCATTTGTGGACAGCTCTAATTATCAGGTATTGTTTCCTTTTTTTCAAGCCTAACTTTGCTTTTCTACAATTTCCACCCATTGTTCCAAGTTCTGTCTTCTGGGATTAACCAGAGCAAGTGAAATGCCTCTTCCCCTGGATCGGCCTTCAGATACGTGAAGACTGCTATCCTTTCTGTCTTTCCCAAGTCTTATTTTCTCTAGCCTAAATATCCCCAGTTCCTTCACCTGATCCTAATATAGCATAAGCTAGAGCAATGGTGGGGAACCTGGGGCCTGGAGGCCACATGTGGCCTTCTAGGCCCTCAGGTGCGGCCTTTTGACTGGGTCCAAGTTTTACAGGACAAATTCTTTTATGAAGGGGATTTGTTCTGTGAAGTTCGGATTCAGTCACAGGGCCGAACTTGAGGATCTAGAGGGCCACATGTGGTCTTGAGGCTGCAGGTTTCCCCAGCCCTGAACTAGAGGCTCTTCACCATTCTGGTTGCCTTTCTCTGGATGTGTTCCAGACTGTGTTATTCTCCCTAACATGTCATACCTAGAAACTAAACACATTTGTGTGTTGAGTAGGGCAGGGCAAAGTGTAGCAGTACTATCACCTCCCAAGTCCCTGAATATGATATTTCCATTTGTGCTGCTTAAAATTTCATTCATGAAAAGATAAATAAATAAATAAATTTCATTCATGGGGGAGGGGAGGAGTTTCCTGTCCCATGATGCAAATGAAGCTTGCATTTCACTAATCCCCCCCCCACATACATATATCCTTTGCCCATATTGCCTAGCCAGACTTTCCTCATAATGGACTTGTGAAGATCTATGGAATTCCCAAAAGTGGTTCTTAACATTTGCCCCCATTCGTCTTCCTAGACTTGGCCCACTGGTCTGACCTGTGAGCATCTCTCTGGATCTCAAGACTCTGTTATCCAATAATGGGGTATTATCTATATCTGAGTTGTATGCAAATTTGCTAAGCCTGCCTTCCCTGTCTTTCTCCAAGTCACTGATAAAAATATCGACCAGGTTAAGCCCAAAGACAGACCCCCTGGAGTGCTCCACTGGGGGGGGGGGAAATGACAGTACAACTTCCATAAACATTTAATCAAATATTTCACTAGACTTGTGTGTTGTCATACGTAGCAACTGATGTACCTTTTGCTTATGTCACTGTTTAAGTGTATCAGTGTCAACAATACAGAAAGGATGAGGCAGCTAGGTGGCACAGTGGATAGAGCACCGGCCCTGGAGTCAGGAAGACCTGAGTTCAAATCCGGCCTCAGACACATAACACTCATTAGCTGTGTGACTCTGGGCAAGTCACTTGACCATAATCACTTCACCAAAAAAAAAAAAAAAAAATGATACAGAAAGGATTCTGGGTTAGGGCCCCAGGATAGGAGGCATTGCCATATAGTGAAAAGATACCACGCCTTGAATCCTGTCTCTCCCATTTACTGTGTGATCCAGGGCAAGACAATTTCCGTCTCTTGGCATCTGGAAGAGATTGAATCAGTGGTCCCCATCTTGAGCTCTGTCTTGATCTTAGGATTCCTGCTGGGATCTGTGATTATCTGAAAACCAACTCCCATCAAACACCAATATGGGATAATATTCCCCACGTTCTCCTGTTTGAAGAAGCCTGGAAGAATCATAGATGGAGCCCAAGTGTTCATGCTCCTCCTGGCTGCCCTCTTAGCACTGTCCCACTGTCCCACCACCCTCCCAATCACCTCTGCAGGGGACAGGGACTGTCATCCCCCTTAACTCTGCTTTCCTGATCTCAGTCACTTCTCTTGGAAGGGGGCACTTGCAATCACCCCTGGCTCTGCACCTACCAGGACAGAGCAGGGGCCATCCCCCTTAAGCCTGGACCTACTACCTTCCCTCTCTCACCTCTGAAGGGAGGCAGAGGCCATCATCCTTAGCTTTGGATCTGGCAGCCTCTCACTCACCCTTCTGGGGGAGGCCAGGCCCCTTAGCTATGGACCTACCTCCTCCCAGCATCTGCCCTGGCAGGGCAGGAGCCATCACCCTAAGCTCTGCAGGGGGCAGGAATCATCTTCCTTAACTCTGGATCTGCCCTCCTTGTACCCTTCTCTGGGGGGGGCATCTAGCTTAACTCTTGACTTGCCACCTTCTGACTCACCTGGGGTGGGGGGGAATGTGCTGCGACCATCATCCTTCTCCATCATCTAGATCCTCAAGTTCGGCCCTGTGACTGAATCCGAACTTCACAGAACAAATTCCCTTCATAAAAGAATTTGTCCTGTAAAACTTGGACCCAGTCAAAAGGCCGCACCTGAGGGCCTAGAAGGCCACATGTTGCCTACCTGCTCATCTTTCTGGGGTGGACCAGGAGCCCTTATCTCTGCACATGCCACCTCCCAGCAAAGACACACCTCTCTTCAGGTGTTACCCCCCACTGGGTAATTCTAGAACTGCCTCCCTCTCCTCTCTATGGGTAGCAGGGCCCCCTGACCTTAAGCTCTGTATCTGCCCTCCTGCTTACCTCTCGGGTGGCGGGTGGCAGGTCATCCTAAGTGCTGGATAGTTCCACTCCTTGACTCACCTCTCTGCAAGGAGCAGTAGCTGTCTCCCTTCACTCTGGACCTGTCACCTTCTGACTCACTTTTAGGGAAGAGGATGCTAGGGTAATCCCCCTTAGCTCTGGACCTGCCACCTTCCGATTTCACTTTTCTGCAGGGCTGCTAGGAGCCTTTAGCTGTGGACCTGCCACCTCCTTGCACCTATCCTGGCAGGCTAGGGGCCATGGCCCGTAGCTGTCACCCTCCCATTCATCTTTCTATGGGGGGCTAGGGGCCCTTAGCTGTGTACCTAATGCCTTTAGGTGTACCCCTCTGGGGGGGGGG